TGAACCAGTCATTGCACGTAAAGAATAGGACTTTTTTTGGCAGCGTTGTACCTCTTCCGCTGTCAATCGTCTGATATTACCTGGGACTGACGTTGGTTTGTCCATGGGTTTCTAGACTTCAGTCTGCGGTTGATGGTCCTCGCGTGTGTCCTCACGGTGTTGCTCTATGCGCCCATCTCTGCGATAGGATTTGTGCACAGCGACCAGGTGTTCTTCGTGCATGTCCGCAACCTCTATGGTTGCTCACATCGACGGAGGTCTATCGATTCGTACCTCAGCAATGAGTTTGGGCATTATACCTCCAATGAAAGCACCCACGAGCTTGCTTTCTGGCCAACCGCCACTCAACTTGTGATGCGTTGGAACTTTTTTTAGTATTCTTGGAGGATACCACTTTGATGTATAGGAGACAAGGCCTCGTCATAGTCATAATAATCAGACGATTCAAATCATGTGATTAGTTCTTTCTAGTAATCCATCTTCTGTATGCGCTCGTCCTTTTTTCTTGTAGACGTGCGAGATCCATTGCCACCAAATATTGGCCTCTCTGTCTAGATAATAGTTTGCAAGTCTCACCCTCTTGGCTTTGGGCACGTCGTTGATGTCAAAGTACTGCGTGGCTCGACGATCCAGATCAATTCTGTTGAACGTGGGCAGAGTGAGCTTTGGCCTCTCGAACCTTCTTTCATCTCGGGTACACTTTCTCGAGCTCCTGCATTGGTGGTCGGTATCATCGCGACCCGACTCTGAACTGCTCAACGTCTCCGAGGATGAGCTAGATCGGTTTATTTTCCATTGTCATCATGTGCCCGCGAGAGCTGCATAGTGAGGTCGTGCCCCATCAACTCAATCAATGTTCTCGTTGGTGGTGTGTTGGTCGTCACCTATAGATCTTATGCTTTCCTTCAAGGCTTCAAGCCTTTTTCGATTCATCATGGATGATGAACTTGATTTTATTTTTTTTTTATAAAAGCTGCGGCTAACCCCAAGAAATAAATAACTAATAATAAATAACTATTTTTTTTACTCTCGAATAACCACTCAAGAAAAATTCAAAAGAGAGAAAGAAAAACGAAAGAGATAGGGAAGAACATGAGTGATAACTCTTAACTAAAGCACCAATGATGAAGAATCGTGTATCTTAACTCAGTTTGTGTAGAAACGTACTAACGGATTTCGCTTAAACACGATAAATTATGATAAAATCCGCACTATCTACTTAGTTCTAACACGAAAGAAAAGTACTCAAGGCGAGCTTTTCAATATTTTATTACTTGCATGCTTAAAAAAGATGAATGCATAGGCCTATTTATAGGAGAGAACATCTAAGCTTATGAGAATTAGACATACTAACCTATTACGAATAAACTTCTAATCACAAACTAAATATTCTAGAATTATCAAATAAATAATTATGCACATGCTAATTAGTCACAAGCTTATCGACTTAAACTAGGGAACTATAACTAGAAAATAGAATATTAATAAGACTCCACAATCAACTCAAGTCATCTCGAAGACTTGCTCTCAAAGATTCTCCCGATCGTATGTCAGTCCACGCCAACGAGGCTTCTCGGCTCTCCCTGCGTACGGCCATACTGATAAGCGACGTGTCTTCTCGACTGTGCGATCTTCGGGTCTGTCCTGCGCGTGCTCATTAGGTCGACCAAAGCTTTCGACCAGTAGTGCGGTGCTCACGCTTGTCCACGCTACCCGTGCTCTACCTGCTCGTTGCTCGACCACCCCTGCTCGACACTCGCACACTCGGGGACAGTTCGACTGTCGGTGCTCGTGGTCTTGTGCGTCTTCGCGTGACCTCGCGTGGTCCTGTCCGTCGTCATGCAACTTCGATGGGTCGTGCGCTCCTTTCCGCGATCATGTCGGGCTTTTTGACCACTCATGCGTCCTTTGGCTTGACATGAGGCTGAGGTGGTCATCGGTCAAGGCGGGTTGAAGGTCATATCTTGGTCAGTCGCTTTTGGTTCATAAATCGTGAGTTTAGGACAGAAACCTAACCATAATCACTGGTTCATAAACATAACATGAACCACTCGGTTACGATTTCAAATCTTCCGTATTGACCAAATAAGTGTTTGGGTATCAAACTCCAAAACGTGGTCATGAACATGCTTGTTGAGGTGGGTAAAAAATAGACTAAGGGATGGAGTATTGCAAATTATGAATTAATATATCATGTAAATTTGGTGGAGATTGGACATAAGATTTTATATTCCATTTAAATATGATTTATTTGTTCGAGAGAATTTCTAGAACTCTTGAATATGAACTTGAATATGAATGCAATTCGGAGGCTTGACAGCTTGTTTCCAGATTAAACGTCAGTTTTGAGCTTGAACGTGCTTGAATCTTCCTTCGAGTCTTCAAAAACGAATTTAAATCTTCAAAAACACTTGAATCTCGTCAAAAGAATTCTCTATAACACTTGAACTTGAATATGAATTATGAGGTGTATTTTGTACATTAGGGAGAGCCCCTATTTATAGGTGTAGAAGATAGAATCATACCAAATTCAAGAATCGTATGATGCGATTGGATTGGTCCATGATGATTCACATAAGATCTTCAAGATCTATTTAATCTTCCAAGATATTCTAGAAGATATGTGATTTATTTACCAAGAAATAAGATTTGACACTTGACATTATTTGATTGGTCAAGAATTAAAATATTAAAATATCAATTAATTAACTATTTAAATTTATGAATTAAATATATGGAAATTCCTAAAATTTAAATAGAAAATATGACTTGATTTTTAATAAATTAATTTCCACGTGGCGCCATTTGATTGGACACAAATTTTCGTCATATACAAAAATATTATTCATTCTATTTGATTTTTCTATTGTTTTCTCCTTCTTCTTCTTTTTTTTGGGGGTGGGGGGTCAAATTGAAAGGTGTTAGGCAGAAAAGCTTAGGGCGTGATAGTATATGATTTGTACAGTAAATATTCCATCTCAAAATTCAAATTTAACTCAACTCCACTATCTTAAATATTATCAATATAATTAAATAATATCAATCAATCATTATTACACATCACATCAACTTTAATTCACTATTCATTCACTCACATAATTTTAACTAATCATCACTTCCAATTATTTTTCTACTTTTATATCAAATCAACTTTAATTATTTTAATTTAAATATTACTTTAATATATTCACTAACAACTAGTCATAATATTTTTTTCAAATTTAACTATATTTAAAAAAAACCAATTTTTCACTAGTTGAATTCAGATCCAATCACCGTCTTAAATAACATTGTTAAAATTAAAGGTGGAATAAAATCCCTATGAAATGATGATGAAGTTTGTGATTTCAACACATTGATCACGAAAAGAATCCACCTTTTGGACTTCGAGAAAGACCAAAATCTTCCTTTTGACTGCACAATTGTTCGTCCATAACCATAAGCGTGGTATATAATATAATATATATAGGAAAAATTAGGCCCTTATTATTTGGTCTTTTCAATGATAGTTTTATAATTTATAACTTTTTCAGATGACTAAATAATGTGAATTGTACTACTAGTCTCGGTATCACCTCTTTATTTCAAAACTATTATTTTATTTTTTTTCACTGTATTGGTTATTCTTATCATTATTTATACAAATTATTGAAATTTCTATAATGAACTAGGTGAAAATAATTTATAATTGTCAAATCAAACTTTATTTGATTATAATTATAAAAAAAAATGCCATTAATTTTATCTCACTTTTATCTCTATTATTCCCACAATTTATCTTTGTTATTCCGACCAAATTCAACCGAATCCACATTGGAAAATAAAGTAAAGTAAATAATTAAAATAAAAAATTATTTTAGTTGATTGTTTCAACAATCATACTAACACAATTAAAAATTTCAAAGTAGTTATTATTATGTATTTTCTAACAATATACTTTATTTGTTAGCTTATACATTTCTAACTTCCAATTTTATTCATTAATATTTTATTATATATATATATATCACATTAATTTTAACTTTTATATATGTTTTTATCTAATTTTTATTTACTCTCAAATTTCTTTCTAAATACTTCTATTTTGATTTATATGCAACTTCTCAAAACGACATATATTAAAAATATGAGGTAATAACTTTTTTATTGGAATTCTCGAAAAAACACTTATATCAAAGGAAAATGCTACATGTACATAATAAATGTACTACATAACACTCACATGGAGTAGGGTCCACTTGATTTTGTATTTTTAGTGGGTCCCACTAAATGTAAGTGTTATGTACACCCTTATGTACACTATTATGTACTTGTAGCATTACTCTATATCAAATCTTATCTCTCCTTTTTTTTTTTAATAATAATAAACACCTCTCTTTAGAAACTTAGACTAACATTATCAGTGACCCCGACCTGGGGTCACAAATTAAAAAAAATAAAAAAAAAAACAAAAAAAAAAAGAAGGTCGTGACCCAGGTCACATTGTGACCTTGGGTCGCGACCTGTTAATGGGACATTTATCCCATTTTGATGGATAAGTGTATTTTTTTTATTTTAAAAAAAATAAAAAATATATTAAAATTTATATTTTTTCATTCTCTACAAATAGAGACCACACTTGATATATTTTGGAATAAAATTATAATTTATAAATAAAATAAATATTTAGGTTGAGTTGGGTAGGAGATAAAGATAAATTGGATTATAAGGTTGAGTTGTGTAGGTGGAGGAGAGAGAAATAATTTTTAATTATTAGGTTGGGTTGGTTTAGGTTGCTGATAAAGATAGTCTTAAGTTCTTATATTCCCTTTTAAGGTACAACATTAACTGCGCGGTGCACAACCCTGTCGCTCTTTCTTCACGTCAGCTCATCGACCTCAAATGAAATAATTATCAAATTAGTTAAATAAATCGAAAAAACCCATAAGCTCTGTGTTTGATTCAATCAAATAGGATTGAATTCTTTTTTTTTTTTTTTTTTAATCCATTAATCGATAGCCATGGGGGCAGCGAGGATCAGCGGCGGGTTGATACGGCGTCGTTTGTGCCCTAGGGTTCCGCTTGCAGTTCTGCTGTCGTGCTCGATCATCCTCGCCTGTTCTCCAGGTGGAAGTTTTGTTTTATTTTTTTATTTTTTTTTGGGTTCTTGATTCAGTTTGATTGATTGATTGGTGTGTGGATTGCTTTTTTTCATGCGATTTTTTTTTTTTTCTGATTGAAGAATTCGTGGATTGAAGATGATGAACTCGTTCTCGTTTGTGTTGTGACCTATTATGAGCAGAGGAATTGTTTCTGATTAAGGAAATAGATTTTGTGGATATGGAGTTCTTAGCTTGTTTATGTAGAAAAATTTGACGTGCTCTCACCGTGTTTTGACATTTGTAACATTGGATCAACACACACCAATGTGGGTGGGTGGGTGTGAGTATGTGTGATCATATGATAGAAAAGTGTCATCACCTGTAGGGTCGAATTTGGCCATGTATGTTTAAGTGATTAAATTGATTCGAAAAAAATGCAGGCGAGTTCGGATAAATGAAACAAGGAATCAGTGTTTCTTGGCAGTATCCATTTGTGCAAAATTCACCGTTGTTTAGCGTGTTTTGAGTAGTGTGTGTATGTGGGGAGATAAACTAAGATGAATTTGGTGCTATTTTCATTTTTTTTTTCTTTTTTTTTTTTGGTCCTTTTTTCGTGTTGTTGAGGGTATTCACTGCTGATGAATGTTGAGTTCTCTTCTAATTCTTTTATCCGTTTTTTGCGTTGTTGAGGTGCTCGGAACTGATAATTTTTCTGTCCCTTTCTAATTTCTTGTCCTTTTATTGTGTTGTTGAGGTGCATATCTTTGAGACGTGATACTTTCTGCATTTCAATACGAGAGTGAAAGATGCATCAATCGTGTTTGCCTATTGAAGCTGATGATATTTTGTTGATCTACTGGTATTTTAACTCTCTTCTTTCTCTTTGCTGCCTCAGTGTTTGTATCAGCTGCAGTTGTTACACTTGATTCTATGGTGATAATCAAAACCCATCAGTGGCTTCCATCCAAACCATCAGTTTACTTTCAGTGCAAAGGGGAGGATAAGATAACTTTACCAGACGTGAAAGAAAAAAATGTTCCGTATACTTTCAAAGAGGAAGAATCTTGGCAGGTGAGTGTTTGTTACTTTATCTTTTCCTCCCTTCCATCACTTAGCATTTTCTGTGATTGTCTTTCTATGATCTGTCACTATATCTGATTTGGTAATGTTAAATTGGTTCATGACCGTTATGATGATACTGATTTCACCCTTGTCTCTCTTTGTTTATTTGAATTGTTATAAACTTCAGGGTGAGTAATTACATTTTCCCTGTTTATTACAGCCCCTGACAGAGTTTAAAGATAAAAAGTGCAAGCGTTGTGGATTCTATGAAAAAGATGCTATTAAAACGGTAATATTTGACGAATGGGAACTTTGTCCAGCTGATTTCAAGGGCCCCGGTGGCAAATATTTTCATTTCAAAGAAGGGGAATTCAATGCATCTTTTTTATGTTCGGAATGTGTTCCTCAAGGTGAGACTTTCCACAATATATTATAAAATTGTAGAACTTCCGACTCCTTAAACCGCTTGTTACAGCTTTAGCTGAATTCAACTTTTGAATTCTTACTCAGCATCTAAAAAGTAACTGCTCGTGGTTTATCCTTTCAGCATGGTTAATAGTGTTCCTTTTGGTGCTTGGGCTTGTTTTTCCTCATGTAGAGAGTTTTTGCCAAAACCTTTATTTTGGGTAGAATTTTGTTTGACTATCACTTGTTATTCAGATGCTTCTCAAACCAATTACTGATTAGGGTCACCCGAGACTGGCAAATCAAATGCTACCAAATGGGATTGTTCTGTGTCAAATTTATATCAATCACAAATTTATTTCTTTCAAATTTTACCCAAACACAAACCTTGATTTTGACCTTTGTACACTTTTAAGTGGGTACTTGTGCCTTTCAAGAATATTAATCGGGTGCTTTCATAATTACCCTGAACCTCAAATATGGATTTTGTGAATACTGTTGGTGAATTTTTTTTTTACTTTTTTTTTTTTT